GGAAAGGAATTAAATATTTTCACGGCTAGGGAACCTTGTTTACAAGGCTGTTAAGGAGACAGGTGGGATGAAGTTTCCTCAGCATCACTCTACAAATTGCATTCATATCTCCAATTTGGAAGTAGAAAATCTGTGTTTGTATCTGTGTTATCGTAAATTAACTTTTACGTAGTGTTAGCATCAGATTTGCTTTTACTATTTTTTGTCAGAAAACAGATAGATATCATTTTCCAGATGCAAATTATTAAATTATTCTAGAATTTAAATTTTCTGTTATGTATTTTTACTAGCCAAGCAATACTTGTTAGTTCCCTACTAAGTAGTAAATGCTATAGGAGAAAACATGAGATTAACATTCAACAATGAGAGGGCCCCAAACACTCAGCCTCATCCTAGTCCACATATACATATTTTAAAAGCCATGTTTTTAAAAGCTTTTCCTGAATACTAGAAGTGAAAGTGTAGTTCTTATATTTGGTGGAAGGCAATTCCATAGGACAGAAACTCCTGCAGAAAATGAGACCCACAACAAATACTCCACAGGCACACCCTGAGCAAGCAGCCTTCAGTCTGAAGCAGCCATCTCGAAGATAGCCAGGTCCCAAGCTATATAAGACTAAAGGTAATCACCAGATAATTGCACCCAGAAACAAACTGTCATGCATTTGCAACACAGATCACCAAATTTAAATTTATTCTCATCTTGAAAAGCCATAATCAATTCAAATATCTGCTATAGTGTCAGAAAGCAAACTGGTCTAATATCAAATGACCCTGAAGAGAGAGAGAGAAGGAGAGAGAGAAAGAGATTCAGGAAGCACAGATCAAACTGTTTCCTCTTCCCTAATTCCTCAGTCTCTTACCTACAATTTCCTAAGTACTCACTTTTTTCTTCTACGTATAGCCATCTTTTACTTCCCTACTAATTCAGCTTCTATCAACTCTTCAGGGTAGGCCAGGTCAGGAAACACTGCACAAAGACTATTGGAAGTCCATCTTACCGATGCAGGGTATAATAACAGAATCTTGAAAGCCTGACAGAGATTGTCTCTCCTCCCTCTTATACCAAGAGACTCAAGGTGAGGCAATCGTGAGTTTCTTTCTCACTCCTTCTTCCTTTCCAGGCCTAAGCAGGTGTTTACTTAACAGTTGTTGAATTCTTTCTTCAAGGCCATTTCCATACTACTCTACAGCTTCATAAATATAACACTTGCAAACTGAATGACATACTGCACAATGCTAAGCTGAATGCACACTGTTAAACCTCTACTACACCAAACTCCATCCTCTGTAGTTGATATTTCAATATGCCATGAATATGGGGGTTATTATTATTATTTAGATTTTGTATAGCCACCCGTTCCAAAAGACTTTGTCAAATCCCTTCACATAAGGTAAAAGTCTCATTCATTTGCACATAAGTGCAATCTAACACAATAGATCTAAAGCATGGATTTATTGTGTGCTCCAAACTATGAAAAATAGTGCTAGAATGGAATATTGATGTCTGGTAAATCTTCATTGCATGACAATTAGCAAATATCAAAACAGATTCGATGCAGAAAATGATTACTTTCTGTGACTTGTCCAGAAAGACTACAGAATTCACAGCCTTTAAAAAAATATAAAAATGAACATGGATGCTAAGTGCAAGCACATGGTCCAATATAATGTTTTAAATAATTAATATCTCTAATAGGCTGCTGTTATAATTTAATTTGTATATGAGAGACTAGTTTCCAAATTAAGGATAGGAATCCTACTCCCTTCACTCAGAATGGGATTTAGCAACCACAGGTAACAGTACCTACATAAATATTTTAAGTACATACATACATACATACATACATACATACATACATAGCTAGTGAACCATGCCTGATATCAAGAGGCTGAGCAAGTCTAGGTATGGTTAAACTTGGATGAGATATCCCAAAGCTGTAGGTTATATTGGGAAGTCAAAAAACAAAATCTTGGAAGAAGGCAATGTTACATCACTTTTATGTAATTGCCAAAAAAAAACCCAAGTATTTTTTTTTTAATTTTCCCCCCAAAAGCAGGAGTAAGGGATCCTGACTCTAGTTTTAAATCTAATTTGGGCTCACCTGATAACATCATCTAGTTTAAAGCCACTGGGAAATGGAGAGATGTTACAAGTTATTCCTGTACTGATAGTATTTGCTGATTCCTTTTGTCTCTGGGAAATTGCTTGCTTACATACTGAATCTATATCATTTCCCCACTAGCCATATTTAAAGTGGATCTTACAGAGTCTTCTAGAGTCATTCAACCATCACTGAGCCAAAATAATTCTAATGAAGACAGGCTTTACACTGCCTCAATGATGCCTGGATAATTCTATAACTCACCAGTAAAAAAATGGTTGACCAAGGTTACCAGAATACCTAGGTTAACATGGATAGCTCTAGATATTTTGTTAGCTGAAGATCAACAGCAAATAATGCCTCCATATAGAGATATCTATTTCTAAGCACAGTGATAACAATGCCACTCACAAGTACAAAAGAGATGGAGTTTATATTGCGACATCATGACTCATGTTTCTCACTTCCCCTAATGTCCCCTCTGCAGACCTCTATGCCTCTGCAGGCTTCTATTTTTACTAACACCAGGTGAGTTATCTTGGTAAATTACTAACCATTTGACTTTTTTTTTTTTTTACTGACCCTGAGGACATCCCTGATTTCAAAAGCATTTCTCTTCATACCTGGCAGAAAGGCAATTCAGATAATCGGCCATTTGCTCTCCTTTCATGACATCCAGCTTCTGGTGCCTGAGGCAACTGCCTTGGTTTTCCTAACGGTAGGGCCTCCCCTGGGATTTAAAACTAAGCTATGGGAACAAAGAAAGACAATTGATATTTTTGGTCTGGGACCCGGCAATCAATGAGAAAATTGGAAAAGTTTTCCCTGACAGCATTCTTACTTTAGGCTATCAGTTTAAAAGATCATGCTTCTTTCTTTGTAAGATAGTTTGCAATCCTAATTAAAAGTTAAAAAACGCATTTGACTCCAAGATCTAAAGCTAGAAATTTTATTAGCTAATCAACACAGAAGAAAGTATCAGTGAATTCCACTGAAGCTGCTGCCAAGTAAGCAGCAAATTTAGTTTTGCTCCTATCCCAAAATTTAATTTTCAAAATACCACAAGACTCTTTGGAAATATTGGCACTTTTTCACTTTTGGAAAAAAAAATCCATGTGAGGTTTGTATCAGACAGTGGTACTTTATCCAGACCACTACATATAAAGATGAAGATGCCATCAAGTTGAACTGAAGTGCACTACACAGACACAAGGCTGAGGTTTTCTCGTTAACCAGTACAAAAGTAGTTTGTAATTGGCTTTTTCCAGGATGCTTTTTACCTTCCCAGCCTAGCTTACAGTCTTGTATTCCTTATACTATATACTAACAAAGCCAGCCCTGTTTTGCTTCCTAACAAAGACAACATAGCTAGGCCTTATCATCTGCTGAGATTGTTTTCTTCCAAACTGTTGTATAAAAGATCAATACCTGCATACATACAACACTGATAAAGATGAGGGATCAACACTTTGTAATGCTTAAAAAGACTACAGGTAGTCATTGCTTAACGACAGTTCATTCAGCGGCCTTTCAAAGTTACGACAGCGCTTTAAAAAGTGACATGACCAGTGTCCGAAGTTACAACTGCAGTGGTCCCATGGTCCCATGATTGCAATCTGGGCACTTGGCAATCAGCTCGCACTTAGGACGGTTGCAGCATCCTGGGGACACATGATCACCATTTGCAACCTTCCCAGCTGGCTTCCAGCAAGCAAAATCAATCAGGAACCATGTGATTCACTTAATGACCATGGTGATTCACTTAACAACTGCAGCAAAAAAGGTTGTAAAATCAGGTCCAGTCACATGATATTCGCTTAACAACTGCATTGCTTAGCAACCTAAATTCCCAATTGTGGTAGTTAAAAGCAAGAACTATCTGTAGTACACAGATAAAGCTTAATTCTTATAAAATGTTTATAAATGTCTCTTCAGTGCAATTATGATGTAGAATTGGTTAAATATATCTGGCTGTCTATTTGGTTTTAAGTGTTTTTATGATTGTTCACCACCCAGAATCACTTGTCTGAGATAGGCAGCTATAGAAACTGAATAAAATAAATAAATAAAATACTGCATGTACATCATAATGTGATGCTGGTGGAATGTGGGAAGGAATAAGGCAGAATAATAAATGAATGGATATTTGCAAAATTCATTGCAATATGAACACCTCCTGGAAGTGATAATGTAATGGTATAGTAGTATTAGCATTTTTCATAGATATGCTTTATGGCGACCCCTGGAAACCTCTTATGGACTTTTTGCTGAAAAAAAGAAAAAAACGAATTGTTGATTTATGGATTTGATTATTAGAAAGGGTAGATTATGGAAAGAAGGAAACTTTGGTGTAACCTTAGAGAGAGGGGGTAAAATATAAATGACTTACAACTGCTATTAGGAAGATCGGAAGCAACGTCTTTATTATTCTTTCTTTTTTACTTTTTCCTTCTTTTCTATCTCCTTTTATTT